GCCTGGGTCTGCTTTGAAAAAAATCGGGTTTGTTTCGTTCAGACTGTCATAAAAAAATCTGATATGAGTCAGATGGGTCAAAAAAAAATCAGATTTGGGTTGGATTTGCCTGCAGTGTGAACGTAGCCTAAAATATAGGCATTTCAGCTGTGGCATTTTGTATCCTTTACATATCAGATTTATTTGCCTATTGTGCTGCAAATGTCTACCCTTTTATCAAAACTAACTTGAAAGTAGTGATGTGCAGATCGATACTGAAATATCGATACTGCCGATACCAGAACTTTATGTTCTAGAATCGATACTAAAATCAAAATATCGATACTTTGATACTTTAGTTAATTTACATAATGTATATCATTAACAAGAAAATAATGGAAAATAACTAAAATATTCACATCTTGTCTAAATTATATGTGGTTGGAGGGAACTACTTTTTCTTCCACTTGAGTAATGCATAAGCACTAGGCCTGTGCTCAGTCAGTCACTCAGATGTACTGCAGGTCATTTTAACATAAAATCTGCTTCAGTTGACTGTAATTAAATTCTAGATGAGGGGTTCCCAAACTTTTTCATGCCCTGGTCCCCCAAACAGAATTAGCTTTGGCCAGGAACCTTCTTGCAAACCCAAAAACAATGCTATAAAATATACAAAGTAACAACTTTTAGAATATTTTTCTCACTTTTATTCACTATTTAAAATTAATTATATTTCTACAGAATAAGAATTTTAAATTGTGCAAAAAATATAAGGTTAGGGTTAGAAAGACTTAAATTAAACAAATTACTGTCATGTATTATTTACAAACCAGTTATTTGAAAAACGCTACTCTTTAAGATTTACCAGAAATGTTATGTGTGTTATCACAAAGTATCAGTATCGGATCATTATCGCCGATACCAGTCAAATTTTACTTGGTATCAGTATCGAAAAGAAAATTGGCAGTATTAGTAATTAATCCTTAGAAAAACTCTTCTACCATTTTATTGCACTTTGGGATTACTGCTATTAGCACTGCGTAATGATAACGTATTGTTGTGCACCACACCCACACGCACACATGTGAGCCCATAATGGTAGGGGCTAGAGCTGGGCGATATGACCCAAATTTGATATCATGGTATTTTCAATAATTACACCGGTTTCACGGTGTTTGACGGTATATTTTTTTCTCACAGCTCATCCATCCATCCATCCATTTTCTTCCGCCTATCCGGGGTCGGGTCGCGGGGGCAGCAGCTTCAGAAGGGAGGCCCAGACCTCCCTCTCTCCAGCCACTTCTTCCAGCTCCTCCGGGGGAACTCCAAGGCGTTCCCAGGCCAGCCGAGAGACATAGTCCCTCCAGCGTGTCCTGGGT